ATGGTGAGCAATGCTGTAGAAGAGCCGGTTCCCTCAACGGCCAGAGACCTCTCGTTGAGCATCAGGCCTCCAGACGTCTGCTCCTTGTGTGCCGTCATCTCGGCGGTCGAGTGGATGAACGGTGAACTGGATCTTTTTGGACCCGGTCGAAGTGGAAACTGTTCCGAGATGAGACTGGTTCTGACTTGTCGGCCAGGAGGAGCTGAGATTGTGACTTTGGCGATTTCAAGGACCACATTCGGAGTGAAAAACGTGGTCGAGCTGGCTGGCAGAGCATGGCAACCGCTTGGCATTTCGTTCAAACAAGGAACTGTCTCAAGTTTGCCAAGTCCGGTCTCCAGGCCGGAAAGGTCGCCAGGCGATCCTCTAATCTCGTGTCGACCCAACCTGAATGAGTTGCGTGCTCCCGACACTGTCTGTCCGGCAAACGGGATGACAACAGGCCTGTTGGTCGAGCAGCCTGACGGCCCGGCTCGTTTGCCCAAGCCGAACTGGTGCTGAAGGTGTTGTAGGTACAGCGAGCGTGTTTGCGCCTGCCTAGTCTGCATGGCTTTGAGGAGTTGGGCCGGCAGACGTTCGAGCCGGGAACAACTGTTGCCAGGCCCGTTGACCACATTTGCGGAGGATGGAGGGCTTCCGGTATCGGTGGTCGTCGGCATAACGAAATGTGCCGCGCCCAGAGAGGCCGGAGGCAACGGATGCGTTGAGACGGCCAGCACAAGTTGGTGCGTGAAGATGGCCGACAGTCCGACCATGGCGAACCGCCAGGTCACCCAGTCGATCAGGTAGGTCACGAGGTGTGGGAAGACGAGAGTGCCGAAGTCAGCGCCACTGGTCGCGAGTGTGAGAGCCAGATTTCGGTACTGCAGGAAGTAGTCGGCAATCATGACTATGTCCACCATGGCGTTTATGCCCATGCCAATGCCTGGCAGCCGGGGATCCGGATCAAGAAAAAGAGCGTGTTACACAGAATAATTCCGAAACTTCCGACAGTTAACATCTATAGCTAGCATACAAGGGATTTG